GTATTTTTCTTCAAGACTACAATTTTCTGGACACTAGAACTACTCCACTTTTGTACAGTACCAGGGAAAATAGACATCGTGCTCTAATGTAATTGCGGCATTGAATAGTGTTGCATGACTTGTCACGAGTACATAGCCTATATTATTCGTGACAGAACTAGTAATGAGATTCACCAATATTTCTCCTTCATTGCCATGCCATTGTGCAAACTTCTAAGAGCCAAACTAGATGTGACAGTGGGTGCTGTATAATGCACAGATGACATACCAGTTTTAATAATCAAAGAGGTATGTGGGTAAAGAGCAGCTTTACTTCATCACTGACAACCGCAAGGCCATTCTCCAAAGTTGAGGGCAATGGGGGTGTTAAAGACATTTCTATATTTGCTGCCTGAAGAAGCTCTTTTTATTCTGCTTAATGGCTGTCAGGGCTACCCTGATAGGAACAAAAAGACTTTGAATGACGTCAGCAAGAGTTAAAAGCTCAGTTAACCTCTGGGGTACTGAGGTATCATTTCAGCTGATGGATTCTGGGACCACGTACTGCATGCCTGCAGAATATTTATCCTTGAGCTCTGTATTCTATTTTTGGCGCTAACATCATGCTCTCCTGGGGGACTCCTCTTTGGAGGGAGAAGAAAAGCAGAGAATTCAGCCCAAGATACATCTGCAGACCTACAACTTTCATGAAATAAGTGCTTGAATTATTCAAAAAGAACTGCTTCATACCCATTCCTGCATATTGAATTCATAGTTTTCCAAGGCTCTGAATGGCTTTAGTATGTGCTATTGATCTAGACTGGCAATTAGACTGAATTAGCATAAAATAACTTCCAGTGATCCTAGCCACACATTGTAATCTTCACATTACTAAAATGAAACCAGTCCACAGAATAGTTTCACTACAATGTGTTTTTATATAAGAGCTTTTGGCTGATTGCTTGATTATTAAAACAGCCTAGGGCTTTTTGGGGTGGGGAGGGAGGGAGGGAGGAGAATACAGCTGAGAAGAAGCAACACATATGTCCCAGCATTTAATGAGCATTTCATTTTATTTTTCTTGCTACTATTTAAAAAAAACACAATATGTTACCCCATTTCTTTATGCTGAAGCCTCTGTCCACATTTTCAAAGCATCCTTAGAAACAGAGAATACTGGCAAAATATCATCAGCAATTTAAGCCAAAACCAGAGCTCTTTCTGTAACAGAGTTTTAATGGAACTAATGTGCTTTTTTTTATATACATGGAATGAAATGACAGAAAAAAATAACATGATAGGACTGCAGTATTCAACTAAAACAAGATCTATAACAAACTAGAAATGCATTATTATAGTAATCCCTAGACTTATGGAGAAATATGTTAGTAATGTGACTGAATTTGTATTTTTACCATGTTAGTAACACTTAGACTTACTACATACAGCTTCACAGGGCTTTACAACCCTCTCTAAGTGGTTTACAGAGTCAGCATATTGCCCTCAACAATCCAGGTTCTCATTTTACCAACCTCTGAAGGAGACTCTGAAGGAGGCTGAGTCAACCTTGAATAGCTCAGAATCGAATTCCTGGGGTGAATTAGCCTGCAGTACTGCATTTTAACCAATGCACCACCATGGCTCTATAGGGCAGTGGTAGTCAACCTGGTCCCTACCGCCCACTAGTGGGCGTTCCAGCTTTCATGGTGGGCGGTAGGGGTTTGCTGTAACTCTGCTTTATAAATTTTATAAAGTAAAGTTACTTCCCTACGTTATAAATCACCATTACTATGGAACCGGTGGGCGGTTAGAAAATTTTACTACTAACAGAGATACAAAAGTGGGCAGTAGGTATAAAAAGGTTGACTACCTCTGCCATAGGGACTAAAAACACTTATTTTGAACACAATTTGTATATTTCCTTGGGTAAAACATTAGGCCATTAGGAACAAATACTATCATCTCCTATTAAAGAAGAAAATCATTACTGATTTATATATTATATATTTTATAATATACAGTAAATGCATGCAAATCCAAAGTTGGAAATAATTAAACTTACTGTTGAACTCATTGATTATTTCATCTGACCTAGCTGATTTGATCCTTTTAATTTTATTGCCTAAACCTGATTATCTTACTAAAGATAAACACAACTGTATCCTTGAGTAGAGTTCTGGTGAGCATAGGGAGACAACTGGGTCGTTTTCCTGGCAATCTGTCAGGCCTGGAAGCCATCTTTTGCATTGGCCCTTCCAGCCTGCCACATTCAATACTGTGGGAAAATGGGAGGGGGGATTATATGGAGTATGGGAGATATATAGTCAAAATAACATTCCTTTTGCAGAGAGTCAAGGACATTTTGCCCTGCACCTGGAGGGGGAAGACTGGGAGGCATCTACAATTAGGACAGTGCCTGATTGGGCCATGTAATGGACACATGAGTGCTAAGCAGGGACTTGGATTTCTCTTGGGTGGGGAAAACATGGAAGCTTTGGGTTTTACCAGATGTGCCAATATAACATCTCTAATAAAATGGAACTTTGAGTAAATTGAGGCTTTGGAGTTTTCTTTGATTGGGGGTATTTCTTTGAACCCTGACATTAACATAATAGAAGCACTTTGCCTTTCCTTTTGGGAACGGCAGGTTTTTTAAAAATTATTTCCCAAATCTAATACAAGAAATTCCCTGATGGTCTGCTACTTAAGTACTGTACTAAATCTATCCAACATTTCTTATTTTTTGTAATAAATAGGCAGGAAAGGATCAAGAAAACCACAGTGGGAATAGGGGTGTAAGAAAGAGATATTCTACGCCAACTGGTCTGTTCTAAAAAGAAAAATAATGTTGACTGAACAGTATGTCATTGATCTTTTATCTATTTGAGTTGCTCTTTAAGCTTTATTGTCTCTGGGATTTGTTTTATGTCCCTTCTCCGTTTTTTATATACCTTCTTTGGATCAACTTACAGCAAAGATCCTCTAATGTAGGAACAGATCAGCTCCCCTTGTTAGGAATATAATCTAACAGTTGGGTTGGCAATATATAAATCATGNCATAATGCTGACTCTGTAAATAACTTAGAGGACTCTAAAGCACTATGAAGCAGTGTATGTCTAAGTTCTATTGCTATTGCTATTTTGTTAGCCTCTTCTTTCCTTTCTTTCAGTTCCACTTCAATGTCCAATATGTATTCTAAAATATTTTTTATGACAATGCAATGATTAGAAATTCCAAAGAGGCATATAAGTTACTCCTGCCCTTATTTCTTAAAATTCCACCAAAGAGTTCCAAGAAATGAACAAGTTATCCACATGTAAACATCAGAATAGAAGAAAGATAGGCTTAGAGTCAATAACTATTTCAGGTAAATTACATCAGGAAGCAGGGGCCTTAGGTCAAGTTCTATATTCTAACCAAGAAAAGAGCAAACAAGTCCAGATATTTTGAATTTGACTCCAGTTGGTGACAGCCAACAGGGCTAAGAGCACAAGATTCCCAAACTCTTCTGTGATCTCTGTAGCAATCCTGTCAAATTCTAGGGATTCCCACTGTTTAAGTATTCTTTGAACACTTGCTACTCACATCTGACAGTTTTCCAAGAACACTGAATGTGCTGCCTGGAGGAATTATATAAATATTATCCTTCATCCCTGCACCAATTTAAATGAATTTATGTATTCTCTATTGTTGTTAAGAAAATAAATGGACATGTCGACATTGGCATCAAAAATTGACCTCCCTCTCTCGAGGGAGATTTTACTTACTTCGTGCTTTCATAAGGTGGTTCTGTTTTAACTCATATTCCACCATAGCATATGTATATTTAGATAAAGATGCATTTGGGATGCATTCTGGTAGATAAAGCACATGGATTGATAAAGATAAATGCAACAAAGTTCCCAAAATATGCAAAAACCTAACCCTGAATTTCAACATTTCCCACCACCCAATGTACAGGAGAGGACATTGGCCAATGTGCTTGTACCTGACCAGACAGAAAAACCTGGAGAAATAGTAAATCCTTGGATGCCATGACAACCACTGTATTCCATGCGCCTCTGCTGCAGCCTTTCTGATCATGCTCTTTCCCTTATCATCTTCTGTAGAGCATGGGAGCATTTGGCTGCCCCAACAGCCAAAGCAATATCTTGTAGGAGACTAAACACACTGCTTTTCTCTAGTCTCCTCGTCTCATTGTGGCTTTTATTGCTCGTCTCCTAGGAAACTGATACAAAAACTTGACTGAACAGCCCAAAGACATTTTTAAGTTAGGTGGCTCAAGGGGCTTCATCTGTTCCTTTTTAGGATCTGAGCAGCTTTTAAATCAGCCTTTCCTCGGCTGAAGCCAGATGTGTTGGAATTTGAGACTATGTCAAAAACAAAAGCTGCAGCTGCTGAACCCAATAAGAGAATCTTAGATTTGGGAGTGGGGGGGGGGAACTGGACTAAATTATGAGATAAACTTGGCAAAAGTACTCAAGAGTGAGCTTTTGGCTTGGCTGGTTATTTCAAACGACTGACTCCTAACTGGAAGTTAAGGAATACTGGAGAGAAAATGTGAGGGGAAAAATTGCCCAAGGAAAGTTCTTCTTCTGGGGAATATTGAGAGTCCCACTGAGATAATTACTATTTTGACCATAGGGTCAGGTGTTAGTTAGAAATCTCTGTTACTGTGACTTCCTCAAAATGTCTCTGCTAAAGGATGACCTCTGGTGATGGAAGGACAGAAAAGCTCAAAGCTCGTCCTTTTCTTCATCATGAGGCTCTTTCTCTTCAGCCCAATCTCATGCCCTTCTGACCTTCCCCTCCTGGTGCCCTCCTAATGTGTTGGACTACAGCTTCCATTGTCCCCATGTCAGTCCCAGACCTACACTCCTGCACATCAGAGAAGGATAATGACAGCCCTAGGGAGTCTGATTCAACCCATCTGGAGGGAAGCCGGTGGAAGAGAGGCTGGTCCGTCTTCCAGCCAGTTGCAAGAGATCTGGGTCGCGCCCAGCCTAGGTGCGGTCCTTACCTTTACGCTACTCTGGCGGGTCTGGGTCTCCGCCTCGACGACGCCACAGCAGTGGCGACCCCCACTCCTGCCCATCTCCCTGCGCGGATAGGCCGGGCAGTTCGGCGCCTGGCGACTCTGGTAGGCGAGCACCGAAGGGATGGAGTCGGCCGCGTCGGTCTTGATGAAGAGCCCGTGCACGGTGGCGCCCGTTCCCTGCGAGACGGCGGCGGTCTGACGCGGCGAATTGGACTCGTCCGAGTTGCGGCAGTAGATCATGCCGCTCTGCGAGACATGGATGCTGGGGGCGCAGCCCATCCCTCCGCCGCGCCGCCCTCGCACCGACCGAACAAGACGGCGGGGGCCACACCAAGACGCCCTCGCAGCTCTCGAGCTCTGAGGAACGCCGAGCGGAGCGGGCAGCTTAGCCCAGAGCGGGGACATCGGCCGTCGGCCTTGGGCGGCGGCGGCGGCGACGGCGGCGATTGCGACTCATCTCCTGTTCTCCCGTCGGCGGAGGCTACGCGCTGCCCGACTCGGGGCGCAGGCAGCAGCCGTCCGGAGAGCCACGCCGGTGCCCGCAGTGCTGTTCCCCTGCGCCGAGGGCGCCCTGTCCTTCCCCGCCGCCAAGCAGAGACGGGAGTGCGAGTCCGCCGCGCTCCATCATGAGGGCATCCCTCACAGCCCGCGTCAGGGAGGAGGCGGAGGCTGCCCGCCTGACGGAAACTTGAAGCACGGTGGCCAGGCGGCCGGCGCTGCGCAGCCCAACCCAGCCGGCAGCCGCCGCTTCCCGCTCCCTCAATTCGCCTTCCGGAATCGCTCAGCGTCCCCTTAGAGCTGAGCTTCGGTTTCCTCGTCTCTGCCTCGCCGGTCCCTTTATCCTCTATCCCGGGCGCCGTCCCTCTTGTCGTATCGTCTGCAGGCAGCCACTGCTTCCAGCGCACTGGGGCAGCTGCCATCTGTTTCGCCTGAGAATAAGGGCGGACCAGTTGAATATTTGTGAAAGGAGAACGAGCAGCGGTGTATTAACCATTAAGCAGACCAAGCACGTGCTCAGGGCACCAGGCCCAAAGGGGGCACCACAAAGTNCGTACTCGCTCTCCCAACAGAGAGCTTACCTAACACCCCTGCCCAGAGTCTGCCTTTTAAAGTTTTCTATTGGAGATTTTTTTAAAGCTGCTGAGCTCAGCCCTAATTGCTGTATTTTCCAGATTCAGATATGGCCGGATAGCTGCTGAGACAGTTATTTTACTGCTCTAGCAAAATATCCATCCCATCTGGGAATTTGAGAGAATACAAGTCCAATTCCCCCCCCCCTGTTGAGTATTTCTACAGAAAGCAAATTTCCCTTTATTTTCAATCAGAAACTTCAGCTATGTGCTAACGAAATAAAGAAGTATCTATGGAATTTTACTTGATTAGTCGTTGCTGACTTTAGGGGGCAGTCCTAATCTCCATTTCAAGGCCATTCAGCCAGTGTCAGGAGAGCTTTCCATGGTCCTGTGACCAGCATGACATCACCGAGTCCTATTACCTTCCCACCGAGGTAGTTCCTATTTATCTACTCACATTTGCATGCTTTCTAACTGCTAGGTTGGCAGGAGTTGGGGCGAGGATAGGAGCTCTGTTGCATGGCACAAGCTGGCAATCTCAAACCTGGACTGCTGGCTTTCCATATGACGAGCCCAGTGTTTTAATCGCTGAGAATTGTGCCACCTATTAGTGAAATAAGAGAGAGTTTAAAATGTTTTTTTTTTCCTTCCATTCAGTTGTGTCTGATTCTTGGACACTACCTGGATGAGTCCCTGTAGTTTTCTTGTCAAGGTTCGTCTGAAGTGATTTGCCATTGCCTGCTTTCTAGGACTGAGAAAAAGTGACTGGCAGAAGATTATCTAGCTGGTTTTAAACCCAGGAAGAAAAAACTAGAACTCATGGTCTTCCCGTTTTCAGCCTGATGCCTTCACTACTACATCAAACTGGCTCTCTTAAAGTGCTTTGGTTTGCTTAATTTATAGTCTATTGATATTTATTTATTCTATTTCTATAGCCATACAACTCAACCAGATGACTCTGGGCGGTGTACAATTCTAAAATTATAAAACAATTACAGTTAAGAACATTAAACAGTAACAACATCTAGAAAATAAATAAATACAAAGAGCAGCTATGATGATTAATCAACTAATAGTAAAGTCAGATAATGGGCCCCTTAACACATTTTGAGCCCTAGGTCTGGGTAAATAGCCAAGTTTTTAAAGCCTTATGAAATATAATAAACAGATATAATCTGTATTTCACTCAAAGACCTCGAATAATTATTAGTTTGTTACTATTACTTGTCTCAGTAGTGCATTTTCCATTAATTTGTATTAATATCAGGATTTTATTCCTACAACTCTAATATCCATATTTTAGACATGATATCAGAATATGATAAAATGAGCAGTTTACACGATAGCACAGGCATTAGGAAAGAAATATGGAAACTTATTTTTTCTGTAGTACAAGTATAATCATTAGCTCAGCATTATGAGGAATAAATTTAAATATGTGTAGTAGAATGTGTTAGCAATGTAACCTTTCAGCTATTTTTTTCATTATTGCATTATAATTCTGTGCAATAATTGTAATCCTTTATTAGAGCCAAGGCATCTGAAATCATTTAGTAAAATTATAGTTTTAAAGGGTTTAGAAATCTATATCTATGATTTTCCCATATTATAAAGGAGCAAAGAATCTTTCTGGGCTACAGTGAAAAATGGATTTTAATCAGGGGTGGACTGCTACGGGTTTGCCTGGGTTCAGGAGAACCCATAGCTAACATTATGGCCTGTTCAGAGAACCTCCAAATCCCACCCCTGGCTGGCCACACCCACCACTCCCCTCCCCTCCCAGGAATCTCCATGTGGCTCTTTTTGGATGCGAGGTAAGTGCAGGGCCCACACGGGGGCTCTGGGAGGAGAAAAATGGGCCTCCCAGAAGGCTGGAGGGCCTCCAGAGCCCAGGGGAGGCAGTTTTCACACTCCCAGAGGCTCAAGGAAAACCTCTAGAGTCTGGGGAAGGTGAACCCCCCCACCCATGCAGGAGGCCAACTAGGCCACGCCTACCATGGCCTCACCCACCCAACAACTGGACAGATAACTCATTGCTGAAATTTTTGAAGCTCACCCCTGATTTTACTATGCTACGTTAGAGAAGAAAACGAAGCTGATAGAGACTTGAGATCCCTTGTGAACACAGACTGAAAGAACTTGGGATATTTGGTTTGGAGAAAAGAAGATTAGGAGGAAAGCTGTATCCAGATATATAAATGGAATCTCCATGGAAGATGGGCACGAGCTATGTTCCAGACTAGAGAAACTAAAACAGAAGTAAAAGTATGAGCTGCAGGTATCTAAATTCCAGTGAAATGTAATAACCTAATGATAAGATCTGTGCAGCAGTGGGACAGTCTGCTTCCATTCCAGACAAATGGATGTCCAATCTCTTTTTGAAAATCTCCATAATGGAGCACCCACAACCGCTGGAGACAAACCATTCCACTGATTAATTGTTCTCTCTCAGAAAATTTCTCCTTAGTTCTAAATTGGATCTCTCCTTAATAATCTGGATTCCTAAATGAATAATCAAATAATTTACCTTGAACTACATGCAACATTACTTGATTCCACAACCACACATTTTTTCTGTATATTCCTTACATCTCTCTCTCTCTCTCATTAATAGCTAAAATGTATATTTTGTTCTCATTAGAAATGGAACTATTCTGCTCTTCATACTTTCTAAACCAAACTCTATAGCTATTTTGGAGCCATAACCAGGATACAATTGTCCTTTTCATAGAGTTTTTCTTTAAAATACTTCTAGAATTTAGATTTGTGAGTACGGTAAGCCTGTTAGAGTCAAAAGAAGCAAAAGTTGTATTCTAGAGAATAGAGAGAAACAAAAGTTGCATTCTAGTATAGCAGCAGAGAAACAGAGTACATTAAGTACAGTGGTCCAAATTATTATCACTGCATTGGATATTTTCCAAGGAGATTTAGAACTCCTTTAGTATAAAACTACTAATTATAGAAATTGAACAAATAAATACATAAATAAATATGATCCAAGAGTTGTTCTTGCATTCTGGCTTCTTGTGACCTGTTTTACTGATGTAAGGTAACAGGTAGTTCTTAAAATCTCTTCTTCAGAGTTTCCCATTTCCCTAGATGCATCCCCTTTTCACATTATTCATGATACAACTAACACGCCAAAGAGAAGAAGCTGGGACTGCAACTCCCTTTGGTCATGCTGTAAGAAAAAAAAGGAGAATAAAGAACAAACACACCCACACAAGCACACACATCTACCTGCCTGTAGCAAACTTGAAGTTTGATTTAAGGAAACATTTTCTCCTCCTTTCTCTTTGGGATAGGTATTTAAATGTATATCATCTATATCTATATGTTTATTTCCAAAAGTAAAGCAGTAATTATGTGTTTGTCTCATTGTTTGACCAGGTGGCCAAATAATAATTCCAGAGAAAGGTAACCTAGAAACTTTCTCCGTTACAGCCT